AGCTCCCAGTCCCCGATGACGCCCGGCCTTGGACCCGCAGCTGGACCGGGCCCTGTCCTCGAGATCTGGCCCCAGTGCCACCTTGCCCTCCCTCCTCTACCCTCCAAGCGGCTCTTGAAGGTGCAGAATCAGCCACCTGTGCCAGTGTTTAGTGCACTGGCCCGGGCCTAACGCGCCGCCCCTCAACCAGGGCAGCTCGGTTTTCCGTCCTAAGCTTCCAGCCACCGTGGCAACCACTGCTGACTGCGGACCGTCAAGCCCCGGCTGCTGGGGGATCAGCGATGGGAGACCCCTGAGGGTGCAGCTCAGAGGAATGGGAACCAGGGCATTGGGTTCTAGTGTTAGTTCTGCCCGTACTGGCTGTGTGCCCTTGGCTGGGCCACCCAACCGTTCCGAATCTCACTTAAAACGGGGACACCGAGGCCTGCATCGCGGGTGGGGAGATCAGATCAGGTGCAGGAGTGCACGCAAACGGCGACATCCGGTCAACTCACTTGGGCCCCCGCACGCCAGCCCTCACTGCCCGCTGCAGACACCGCCCAGAGTGCCCCTTTCCGCCTGAGGGCTGGCCCACGCCCTCCCCCACTTCAGACACTCCGACCTTCCCAGAGGCCCCAGGCTCCCCCTCCTTCTCCACGGGGCCGTGACCTGGGGCAGAACAGAAACTGCCAACTGAAAACGTGGGCGTTCACTCACCTCCCCAAAGCCCCCTTTTCCTAGTACCCGGTACTGCCTGAACGTGTTTTTGGTTACTGGTTGCCTGGAAAAAAGCAAGAATCCAGTATTAGTCTCACGGCGTCAAGGTGCAGAATCCGTAAGCAACAGACAATGGCAGCAGTGGACGTGGGAGGCGCAATTCCACGCCCTGCTAACCAGGCCCCAGGGCTCCCAGGATTCATCGCTGCGGACGGGGACCTCACAGACTGACTCTGGGGCTGGGCGTTCAAATCCCAGGCAACCCGCCCTTGACGCCCTCCCTCCTGGGGGAAGGGCAGAAGGGCAGAAGGCTTGAAAAACGTGAGCGGAAGGTGCCTGACCAGACCACACTTTCCGTGTGGTTCCCCTCCCATTCCCAGATGCAAATCGGGTGGCTGAGCTCAGAAGGAAGCTGTGTCCTCTGTGCAGGGGGCGGGGAGGGGGCCAGGAGCCACAGAGGTTCAGTGTCCCACAGACAGCATGAAGGAGACCGGGGCCCTCCTCACACCTGCCCATCTCAGCCTGCCCAGGAGCCCGGGGCTATTTCGTCCTGCTGCTGCCGCCCAGGCAGAGCCCCGAGAAGACCCGTCTCCAAGTCTAGTCTCTGCAACCTGTTACCAGCGGTTCTCAAGCCCTCCGCCACTGCGGGCCCCTCTGTTATATTTCCCCCACAGCTGTGGGACGCTCGAAGGTCCCGTCTGCCAAGAGCGGGCTCTATGAGGTAATAATCACTTTGTGTCTCGTGGGGGTCCCATTTTAATTAGCCAAAGCCATGCACCATGTCTAATCAGACAGAACCTCTGACTATGAAGCAAGGATGATGAGACTTCGGGGAGTAAACTAGTTGCCTCGAAGAACGTGTCGCAGATAGCTTGTGCTGCCCTGTTTGGCTATGAATATCATCAGCTTTCTTTCTTTTTCCTTTTTTTTTTCTTCCATTTTTAAGCTTTACTGAGGTTAAATGTATATTTGGATATATGTATACATTGTGAAATGATTACCATAATCAAGCT